ATATATATATATATATATACATATATATATATATATAATGTATAAAGTCTAGCATTCAGCTAGACCAATAGCACTGCTGATAAATTATTACTTACATGACCATCTCTTTTTTACAGACATCTTATCATTGTTTACTTTCAATAAAGTAACTCATTAACTTGTTACCGAAATTTTAGTGTGTGATCCAATCAACTTATTATATTTTACTCGGTTCTTATTATTAGTTAATACCATTGTATATAAATATGTATATAGGGTTTTGTATCAATTATTGTAATGGTTTGCAATAAATTTGTCACGTGACAGTTTTAATGATTTATTGATGATTGATCGTACACACGTCATCAATCAGCTGTTGTTGAACATGTTCTTGTTGCATTACAGATTATTCAGCTAAACCATGTCATTCCAACTGATAAGTTTGACGTTTCTTATGAACTTGTGTAATAATCATCTGTAATGCTAGCTACTTTACTGACTGTATGACTATACAAACATCGTATACAACAACGTCTAATAGATTGCCTACATTTATGACGCAATGTTGTAACTGCAAGCCGTTAGACCTATAGCTAACACGAAATATTATGCAAATCAAATTTTACGCATCATAATTATAAGAAATTTATTTTTATATGCTGTATCAGAAGATATTAATTTCTAAATAATATTCACCTATTCTCATCGAATGGTGACGTCAACACATTCTGGGTATACAACTTTGAGGAAATTGTGTCTCAATCGATCTATGATTATGATTATCAGTTTACGTGTGATGCAGAGATTTTTTTTCTGACGTGACTTATTTCTTTTTTTATTCTTTCCTAGTGTCAGCTACAGTATTGGTGGCCATTTTCGCAGCTTCGTTCACCGTGTTCATATTTCTCGTCGTGGGGTTTTATCATTACTGTCGACGTCGTAAACAGTCTCCATTTCCTACGAATCCAAATCGATCTTACGTAACCAAGAGTTATTACACAAAAGCAAACAGACCCGTCAGTAGTCCAGAGAGTCTATCGTCGCCAGACTTTCCATCGGACTACGCGCCGTCAATGTCATCTCTCCACCCGTCCCCGTCCTTTTCATCACAATCTATATCATCGCTTGAGCGTAAGCAAACCATCAAAACTAGAACATACTCTGGAAGTACAGGTAGCATGATAGACCCAACGACACTGAATAAGGAATGCTACTCAGAAGATGGCTGCGAAAGCACATGTGCCACTGAGGAAGAAACCTCTCCTAGGCTTAGCGAACCTGGAGCGCTAGGGGAACTCGATTTCACCGTCGAATACAACTCTGCAAGACAGACCTTCCTTGTGACTATCCATAAGGCATGTAATTTACCTAAGCGAGATCCGTTGGCATCTGGTTGTACTTCAGATCCCTACGTTAAGCTTTATCTTCTACCAGAAAAGAAGCATAAAGTGAAGACAAGGGTGATGAGAAAAACTTCGGATCCTGTGTACGAAGAAACTTTTTCATTTTTCAACCTGGAGTACTACCAGCTTCAAGGAATCACCCTGCATTTCGTAGTAATGAGCTTCGATCGCTTCTCACGTGACCAGTTAATTGGCGAGGTCGTTGTCTCTACGGCAAATGTAGATCTTGGGCAAGGTCCAGTGCACATGACGAAAGAAATAACACCAAGAAAACCAAGGGTAAGTCATATTTTACTGAATTACCCACTTGACCGTCCTCTTTTCTTTTATTATTCCTGTTTGTAGTTCCTTTTTGTCTCTTCCCATTTTATCTTTCCCATGTCCCAATTCCCCGTTCTTTTACCTTTTTTTCATTTTTTATTTCACCATTTGTCTTTATATTCTTATTTACCGTTTCTTTTTCTCATTTCTTTTCTAATTTTGAATTTTTGTTTTATTCTACTTTTTCATTTATTCATATTTCCTCATTTGGACGTTTTCTCCTTCAATTTATCCTTTTATATTTCTTCTTTTTACTTTTCTTTACACTTCTCTTTCTCCCTTTTATTTTTCTCTTGTAAGAATTGAATTGTTATTATAACATTATCACTATCATCATCAGGGTGGAATTATGGGGTGGGGGCCTCTGGGAAGCTGGAAAGCTAATAAAAAAAAAGAAAGAAAGAAATAAAAAGAAATGAGTGATCGCCCAAAACACCTCAGAAGTTATTTTCGGGCGTCTAGCAGACAACACTTTCGCTGGGGCATGCCCCCGGACCCCCTAGGGTAGTGTTGTCTCAATCGGCACCATTCCCCCCCCCCCACTTTTCTGACAACTCTGGATGCCCTTAATCATTATTATTATGGTAAAATTCACCCATAAGCATCAGAATACAATTCCGTGAATAAGATAAATGAGTTGAATGTGGAATTCATTCTCAAATTATAACAATAGGTACATTATGTATTTTGCAGAAACATGAGTTTTTTTACGAGGGTTGTGTCGTATGCTTCATTATAATGTATTATGTAGTACAACGTTGTTGATATTGCATATCGTACATGATTTATGAGTTATTACGTTGCATATATTCACGATTTAACATTAAATGGCAATTGTAAGGTAATTATAAGAATAAAATTTTTTTTGCAATTTATCGTTTAAATTGGAAATTCAATGATTGAATCGATAAAATTGAGCTACGAATCTAATGATATCGTAGGGCAAAATTTAATTGCCCAGCGTTTGGTCACATTCTTTGATGGCATATTTAGGTAAATGTTCAACATCTCTGTTGTTGAAGCATTAGTTCTTTAGGTATCTGTAACAGATTCGAAATGCCATAGTAAAAACATTTTAGTGAAAGTGAATTTATGCGGAAAAATTATAATGTGTCAATTCGGACGCATAACAATTTTATTTTTAATAATATTTTGATTTGTTTGTTAGAAATAGGGAAATTTGTATTATGTACTATGTTTTCATATAACTCTTAATATGGAATGGAGGAGTCATTTCGAACTGAAATATAGGTGTTCTAACATTATAGGCCTAGTGCAGTAAAACATAACATATAACATAATCTTATGCTTTCGTTATGTTTATGGTAAGTGTGGTAGCTTTTAACTAGGTGTAAAGATTGTGAGTTAACCAGGTGTCACTTCAAAACAACAACAGTTTGTATCTCATTGCTGCAAATTTAATGTAATTCAATCATTATTTTTGTTATACAAGTATCAAAAACAAGAGGTACCCTAAGTAGTAGGTAAACATTGTCTAAACAAATTAAAAACTCTATGTTTGTAGAACTATAATCTTAAAAAAACAAAAACAAACAAAAATAATTGTTCAAAATATCATAAATAGAAAGATTTCTATATATATATATATATATATGTATATATATATATATATATATACCTGTATATAAGTATATATATGTATATGTATATAGGCCTATATATGTATATAGACATATATGTATATATATGTATGTATATATATATATATATATATATATGTATATATATATGTATATGTGTGTGTACCTGAAAACTTAGAACGAGTTGAAGAGAAATTATTTAGAAAATATCCGTTAGAGGTATTTATATCACTAAGTATACTGAGGTTAATGGAAAGGTAATTGACAATACTACAACAATAATTGTCTATTACGCAAAGTAGCAAGTACAGTATTACTATATTTAGCTTACATATATTCTAAAGATACATCCAGTCATGTGCTATTAACAAAATATGTGAAAAAGGCATTTCTCTCTTGATTTTTTTGAACAATCTTAGTCTTACTGCTTTACCATTCTAAACAAACAGGCAAGCAAATAGTTCTTAGAGAAATACCTGTCAGTTACATTCTAAGTATCAGTTATGAAAGAACTCTACTTTATATTCAATAAAGTTAGTATATTGTGCCATCTAAACATTAAAGTAGTTAAATAAGTCCGCCGTATGTCACTGCTCATGCAAAATTTACATCTTACAAGAGTTATGAGCACAGGGCCTATAATACGCCAAGAAGAAAAATTATTAAACATGTACACTATTTCACAGACAGATTATTATTCTTTACTGCTTTGAAACATAACTGTTTTAAGACACTTTACAGCAACAAATTTGAGGCTTAGATTGTATTCCAATATCATTATATCAGTTTGGACAGACATTATGTTAACGTATACTGAAAAAGATGACAGACAAAATGCACGTTTTTAAAAGTATTTTATGTATTCCTGACCGATTCCATCTGTCGTGAAATATATGAAAAATCAGACTTTTATAAACATATAGAAGAGGTAATCGATATTTTTGAAACCATTAAACGTTATTAACGGATTCAGACACATGGTGCAGTGCTTTCCATAAAGATCACGGTATTAAAAAATATTTGATGTAATGTGACTTTTTGGTCAATGACCGATCACATAACAACTGATACACTCCTAAAGTGTGAATTGCACGTAAGATCTTCCAACAGTCGGTTCAAGATATGAAATTAACCATCCAAAATGCAATTAATTTATTCGCACTAGATAGACAGTATAATGTTTGCTGATGTAAACTGACAATAGACTCACAATATCGTAATTTGTGATCCTTATTTGAAAGGTAAATAACATTTGAGTCGATCCATTTAGCTTGTGAACAAATAATTGAAGTGTCCATGCTAATTTTATCTTTTCTTATTACGTTTCTGTTTCCTCCTAATATCGTATATTTTTCCCAACTTTCTCAATGTCTAGGCAATCAGTTTTGCCTTAGGCTATGTAGGCTTCACCTCTCACTAGTTTTGCATTATCATCACACATCATCATCGTCATTAATGTCGTCGTTGTCACTAACAACATCGACAATAATAATAGTGATGAATATTGTTTTGATTATCATTAGTATCGAAACTACAAATTGTTGATTCTGGAATAATGTCCTGGTTGCATATAGTTCAACTAAGTTAAAGATATGCTTAACATACGAATGTATGCTATGATTATTTCATCTCTGAGTAGTGTAAGTAGAATATTTATTCCATCAAAGAACGAATTCAATATTTCTACTGACAGCCTAAGTATAACCCGTTACCATTCTGCCACGAAATTTCCTAAATATTTCCAGAATCCTGAACACCGGACTTAATATTAGAATACTATAAATTTCGGTTGTTCATTTCATATGGAATAATTACTGATCGGGTATACTTTTATGATTGATATTTTGAAGGTCAACATACATTTTTTTACGTAACACACATACGCATCGATTTACAGCATATACTAACGGCGCCATACTTCATCAGTCGATTGGCATACTCTCTAAATACCTATCACATGTGCGATTAAAATGCTGCGCATGTGGCTATAGTTTAATTGAGCGGCCACCATAGGTGCTTCGGTTTCAATGGCTTTATGCCATACAGTTATGATGTAATACTAAATGAATGCTAACTACCACTTTGTCAAATAGTATAGGTGAAACAATAATTAACATTTTGTACTTCTTGAAACTGGCCGCGTGTTTTGCACAATTCAAGAGCTCATGCACGCACGTACGAAACCACGACATCGTGCATGCGTAGTAAAATTGTATAATCTCGGAATTTCGTTTCAAATGAAAATTCTAGTTAATCTTGCGTCCGTGTTTTATTTTTAAAAGTCTTTCTGAATTTCTAAACAACCTTATCTAGAACTGTCTCTAAATCCAATCGTGCGTAAGATGATTAATCTTGTCTAACATAACGCAAGCGAAAACGCCGACTTGAAATTTACCTACTAAAAATTTCTTTCTTGAACTCTCACTGCATGCAGTACATATGAATCAAATGGTAAGTGTAGGACTAATGCATGGAACCTTTAAGTTTAACTATAAAAAGGTAATTAACAAGTTTAGTTATTAGCCATATCTCTGAAAGTTTGTGAATTTTCTCGCGCGTCTATCGGAGCTCGGAAAAAAGTTTCACAAGTACAATAACTGAGATGACATCTCGCATGTACAACACAGTAATAATGCCCACAGATTGTTATGACTGCTCTATTTCCTGTTGCCATGTCATCTACTAATATTCAGTATCCTAGATAGTTAAAATAAGTATGATGATCTCTTTCAAATTATTCCTACGTAATCAGATTTTCCATTTAACGGCCAACACTTTCAATTTCTTTCTTTCATTTTATTTAGGTAGCCAAGAGTCAAGGACGTGGCGAGTTATTGGTATCCCTAGGCTACCAGCCAGCATTAAATAAACTTACTGTCGTCGTGCTGAAAGCTAAAAATTTACCAAAGATGGATGTTACTGGACTATCTGGTAAGTTTTTTTTTTTTAATTATTGTCTGCGTACATCACTCAGCTAGTCATGTAAACAAGTTGCTAAGTTTGGATTGGTGAATTCATGAGAGTGCATGCGAGTGAATAATACAGATTTAATTTTATTATATCATTAGTATTATAACTTATATCTACTTTCATTTTCAGATCCATATGTGAAGATCTACCTGATGTATGGAACGCAGCGTTTGGCAAAAAAGAAGACCCGGTTAAAGAAGAGAACACTGAACCCCGTTTTCAACGAATCATTCATGTTCGATGTTCCAATCGATGGGCTCGAGAATGTCCACTTAGAATTTCATGTACTTGATCATGATCGTGTCACTAAAAATGAAATTATCGGGCGGCTGGACATCGGCAAAAATGCTAATGAGCTAGAGGCTAAACATTGGGATGATATAGTCCAGAATCCACGGCGACAATTTGCAGAATGGCACGCCCTCAAAGCATGAATAATATTAACTGGCTATCAACTGCCTGTGTTTGTTGTATTATGTGTGAGAATTCGGCTATCCAATTATAAATTATGTAACCAGTCTTCATTAGATAATGTTATATTGTACTCATTTGTATAACCTTGTCATATGACGTCAATAACATGACAATAATAATGTAAGAATTTAAATTCCGTTGTTCAGCGATCTATTTGGATATATATCCCCATCATGCCATTAATGCTGAAATGATTATTATATACGAATAATGGACATATTTTTACATCTATATACTTCAATACAAACATGTGTATCCTGAAGTCTTGAAATAGGCCTACTGTCATGTATCTTTTTCAAAAGCATTGTGTGTCTTTACAAGTCATGGTTGAATTTAGCGGCGTTACCATAACATAACTGCAGAAAACCAAATAGTCGAGTGATTACTTTCTATACAATGTGTAGGTGTGATTTTAGTTCCGGACGAGGAACTAGAAAAGATGAGTCGATGTGGTTGTTGGCGGTGATTATATTTGGCCTTGAGAAATTAAGCATTCTTCCCTTGGGTATTCAGGTTACTACCAGAGGGCTGTGCCACCGAGAGGGTGAATGGGGCAAGATCCCCGGGGACCAAGCGTACCAGGGGGCCATAGAAATTGCAGGTAGCATTTGTTTTCAATATTTTTTCAAAAATAATAATTACTATCAGGGCCCTCAATAATGGCATAGGTTCCCTAATAAATGGGGCCCTCCAGGTTAACAGCCCTCCCCCCCCCCAAAAAAAAACAATGGTTTGCGCTCTTGGCGCAAACTTTCTCGCTCTTCGCGCTCCTAACTGGGGGCCCACACCAAACCTTGCCCCTGTTAAAGTTTCCCCTTTGGCGGCCCTGCTTGCGGGTAAACATTTACCCGCAAACAGGTATTTTCTTGCTACGTCTTTTTTCTAATTAAAACCCGTTTGTGAGTTTGGGTAGTTAATCGATTTGATACATATGCGGATGGGGGATACATCTTAATATTGGGAATTAATAATGCTTGAGAGGTTCATTACATCTAAGTTCAATAATATTTTTAGTCCTGTCAGTATATCTTCCTCGAGTTCATCTACGTATGTGCCTTTTTGAATGGTAAAGAAAATATTGTTTTTTATTTCATGGTTGTCACTGTATTCTCCAAAATACAATAGATAAGAATAGATAAGGCTCAGTAGTTGCTACCCTATTATGTGTCAGCCTATTTGTACTGATCTAACAACCCCCACCCCCTTGCTAAGAGATAGAGAAGTTTGTGGTTTCCAACTTGACCCACCCCCACAAGGCCTATAGTTCTTCTGAAAACATCTAATGAACCGCTGATGAGTATGTAGATCAGGACACCCTTTTTGGCTATAATTGCATGAATATTAGGCCTCCAAATGCTTTTTACTTAGGGTTGAGTCGGTAGTAGTTTAATAAGATGGCAATACATTAGTAGAGGTGGATAATTTTCCAACAGTATGAGCAGAATTTCCTCAACTGGGGTTTAAAATTCTTTCATAGGGTAAACTATTTTTAATGGAGGGTTTCCTAACAGGGATGATAAATGTCTTGACTGGATTGAAATTTGTGTTGGGATTTATATCTAGATTGGTAGGAATTTTAAGGAAACGATGAAAGGTAAATGGTGTGTTGCTTGTTATTGATACCTTCATAATTTGTTTTAAGCTGTTATTTTCTTTTTCGTTTTTGCTCTACACTCCCACTTTAAAAAGTTGCAGCTGCAGAAGATAGATCATTATTTTAGTAAGTACATTAACATTACTTAAATATCATATCTAATGTGGTGGGTTTTCTGAGGAAACTTAATGATTATTATTTTGAAATACGATTTCAGTGGTGCTACATTATAGGCCTTATGCGTTTCTTATGTTGACGTTAACCGTAATTCATGCTGCGTTGACGCCTGCGTTACTATAGAGGGCGACATACTGTTTTATCACAAACCCTCCCGAAAGATACGTCGCCTACACGACGCGATACGACAAACGACTCGAAGGAAAAATTAACGTGCTCGCACATGTCATTTTTCCAGACTTGGAAAAATAATAATGTCAATTTTTGTTTGCCAAGTTTAACCAAGCTGACACGCAAATGAAACAATAACTCGTTCATTTTACCTACAGTAACTGTGATAATAATACGAATTTATAAGCATGCGTGTTACTATTAAATTAGATAATGCGCACAAACCAAGAAAAGGAAAACATCTGCTCAAGGCCCAAAAAATGATCAATAATTAGCCTAGTACGTATGGCCATTGAACACGTTTTTGGTGATTAAGTTAATTTTTGACTTCAGGCCACTTAAACGATCAAACAGGGAGAGTCTCAGAGGGTTTTTTCGAGGACGTAACAGAACTATAGGCATTCTGGCCCAGTTTGGTCAAATTGTGAATACAAATTAAGGTTATTATATTGAAATTAGATTCAGTGGATTTTAAATAATGATTATTGTATTATTTAAGTCCAAACAACAGACTACCATCAATTTCTGAATTAAACTGAAATATCGATCTTATACTGATGGTGATTTCAAGAACAGTATTACTCGCAAGTTTTAAGTTGGTCGTACAATGTATTTGGTCGTCTCGTCCTGTTGCAATGCGTCGCTTCGTTTGTCGTAAGTCGCGTTGTAGTGAGTGGGCCTTTGAATAATCGTCTTGTGATGTTCAATATCAATAGAGTGATTCAATTCGACATTTATATGAATTAATCACAATGTAGTACTATTATTACTGCTATTGTTATTATTATTATTAATATTCTTTATCATCAATATTATTATTGTTATTATTAATAATATATTAATATTATCATCATCATTAAACTAAAAATGAGGATTTCAGCTTCTAGAAGTTTGAATCTTGTGTATAATAGTATTGTTACGAGTGAATAAATACGGCTTTTAATGTTGATTAATGTTTTAAAACTGGGAGTTTACCACGAATATGATTATAATGATAATCAAATTTAGTTTGCTATTCTTTGTATCATTGGTGTTAAAGCTGTATTGTCCCCTGGGAAAAAAATCATAAAAATGATTTTGAAGTTAACGTGCTAATTTTGCATTAACATACAAATTATAAACTTGAGCATAGACATTAGTGAATTACAAAAAAATACGTACACTGATTTTTATACTGGGTAATGATGAAAAAAAAAAGTTGAAACACACCAGTGACTTCGCTGTAACATTATGGGTGAACATTTTTAGATACACTAATATCTATGTTCAAGTTGATAATTGTTATGTTACTTCAAAATGAGCAAGTTAATTACAAATATTATTTTTCAGATATTTTTGGTAAATTTGGTCCCACCATTCCCACCATATTGGGTTCTGTCACCCCAGCTGTCACAAAATGACACTCTTAGGCGAGTTGTCTCTGGTGCAGAAAATATGTTTTAATTAGTTTTTCCCCGACAGATGTTACTGCGATTTTCCGACGGCAGGTGTCCCCGATCTGGGCCAATTGTCCCCAAAGTCTGGGATTGCTCACCCTCATTAATATCACACATCGTCATAATACAGTAATGTGAAACAATGAGAAATTTACACCACTCGAAAAGTTTTGCCCTTGAGAATTTGCTTTTTCTTCAGAGGGCGCTGTTCATACTTCCAACGCCCACGTTAAGTATTTATTTTATCATTTATTATTTAAATAGTGATCCTTTGCTTAATGTGAAAAAAATGATGTTGGATATAGTGTTTATAAAAAAAAAAAAAAAAAACATCTAAAATTGACATTGTCTGATTCTAAACTATCGGAGCTTCCTCCCTGATCAAATTTAAATCAAAATTCATACTAATATAAGGTACTCTGTATAAAGCATGATGAATATTTGCTCAACGATAACATTATATCAAGTCTTCATATCTTCTTTAATCATTATTTACCCGATATTATACAAAAAGTAGAAAAATAAAAAAGAAAGTTATAACAATATGTAGGCCTATGTAGTGTTAATATGGGTGTTCATTGTGTGATGATCAAATATGGTGATACAACCTCTTTATAGAGGTCAATATACAGTATTATATAAATGTAATACCTAATTAGGCGAAGGCGATATTTTCACCAGTCGTAAAAAAACAATTTACACAGGTTGTTTGTGCATGCCCATTTAAAATTACGTTTGTGAGATTATGGTTCGTAAAATAAAGGCCCAGACTCATAGTAACTTTAAATATAATCTATCCAGGGTTACTGGACATGTGTAAACGATTGGATTGGTTTAATTATTATTGTATTGTATGTAAACACATTTGCAATGAAGTGCGCCATCTTCGCCCATATGTGAGATTGTATAACGTTAGTGGCGGGCTTCAAGTCAAATTTTTTCCTTTAATGATATATATTTTTAAAATTAATCAACAACTTTCTTTAGTAGAATATTTCTATATTTTTATCAATAATAGTCACAGATGGCAGTTTGTGCCGCTAATCTTTTTTTTTTTTTTTTTTTTTTAACAGTAACCATTTTCATAAGTTTACCACGTCGTTGGGTTTTTATCTTATACAAGATCAGGAGGAACACGCTGCTGAGACGTTTGTACCCGCTGTAGTGTGTTGGACATTCTGGCTTGGACATAATTGTAATGTAAATACTGTATGAAATAAATGTCTATGTTTGCTATGAATTAATTTGTTTATTCATTGATATGTTATTGGGTGTCATTTTATACAACAATTAAAGCTTATTTGTTGGTGCTGAAGAAAAATTAATGTAGCATTTAACAAAAGATTACCCATGCTGTAACTGCACTGATGATACACGTGTGTTGTCTCTATCGTACAACTTGGATATTTTGTAGTGTAGCAATTTTATGTCGTACGAACAAACACTTTTCTTCTTATTGCATTCGCCATGTAGGCCGGATAGGCTGATACTACGAAGGGACTATCGTTCATCGTTCTTACACAGGGAGGATTAGTACCGGTACCTCTTCCCACAATGCCATTCATGATTCGTCGAAGTTCCATGGTAGACGCTTTTCGTTTAACGATGATGAAATCTATACTTTAAATGATAACTGAAAACTAAGAATGCAATTGATTATGAGTGACATTGAGGTTTTTAAATCGCAATGAACATAATCGATGATCGATGTGTACAAAATGTTTAAGACTGTCCATTTGTCACGTTTTCAAGCGTTTAATATTTCATATGAAATATCTAATTCCACAAGTATCGTTTAGTTAAAGGTCGATACAAACCACGTTACTGACTTGGTTTATTATAAATTTATTGCAATTACTGAAATTGAATAACATTTAAATTATTGATTGTGGAATTTAAACAGGAATCAAAATATGATCCCTAAATGTAGGCGAAGATTTCACTTAGTGGAGAATAGACCTTGAATAAAAGTTTTACATTGAATATGATGATGGCAGCCCGAAGGCAGTGATGATGACTATTGTACTATTTGAATGTTATTAATTAACCTATACACTCGTACTACTATAACGTACTAAATAATAAAATACAGGTCTCGCCTTCTAATTAAATACCCCTCCAATTAATGACCACTCTTCTGTGGTCCCATTTAACAAATATTTTTTTATATCTATTATTCTAATTAAAAATCAAAGTCAGCCACAGGCCATGTTATATTTGTTTTGATATTGCAATAATTATAATAATATTTAAGTGATTAAGACATTAAAAATAGTATACTCTCAGTACTCCTTGACCAAAAGTAATGTATCTTAAATTATATGTATAGGCCTATACAGATTCAGATAATTATAATGGCTTTAATTAATACAGGCAGATACTATTCTAAAGGTTATGGGAATTGAGAATAATCGGGCACCGGTGCGTCTTCCGACGGTCAGCCGATCTCTCGATGACAAATCTTTCGTTTTATGATGTGAAGCCGTCTGCTGATTGTCAATGGCAGTCTGAGCGGATCGTCGTTTAAAATGTTTCATCATGCGGCGCGTTGTGGTCTCCATGAATCGACCACGGTCCGACTTTAAGCGTCTGGTTTTAAGTGCAAGGATAATATTAGGATTCGCTTTGCATCACTGCGAACCGCACTGAGCTATCGCGTGCGTGAATAGACCTTTCCGCTAAGCCTCGCCCGGCCCCTTGGATATTGTTGATAAGGTCCCACAACATACGCAAAATACGTTTGTTGGACAATACGTTTGTTTGTTCCACGCGTGTATTCCCGGCCCTGTTCTGACTGGTTAGTTGTTAAATGAATAACCTTTAACCTTTAGTTTGATTGACACTCCCGAAAGGTCCATTGCAAGTTATCATAATTTTGCTGCACATGAAACTGTTACTTGGCTTGGCTTCCGTAAAATCGCTACACGTTATCGCCGGCAGCTTTCGGTGATTCTGATTGGTCGGTCGAAGCGAGTAGCCTTCCCAGTGGCGGATCTAGGATTTAACAATGGGGGATGGGGGTGGATAATGCGATTTGCGAAGCACCAAGTAGGGGGAAGGGGCATGGTTTTGCCAAGGGCGCAGATCATTTCGTGAGTCCACACCTACCTCAGGCCCACCATAGTTATTTGGGCCTGAGTTGCGAAAATTATAAGAAATAGTACTAGTAGTTCTAGATTACCGGAAATGACAATTTTATATATTGAAATTCATCGTCGTCACATCACCAATATAATAGTCAAAATGGAGCTCCAACAAATTTCTCATGATGTTTAACCAGCGATTTTCGGCAACCATAGATATCTAATTAATATGTGTTATGTGCTATAGAAAATAAAACTTAAGAATATTGTTTTCAGCAACCATAGATATCTAATTAATATGTGTGATGTGCTATAGAAAATAAAACTTAAAAACATTGTCTTTGATGTATTTTATAGTTTTGGCCTACTTACCTTAAGCCTAGTCCACACCATAGTAAAGGGCTGAGGTGGGAACATTTTGAGAAATAGTACCTCTAGATTGCCGGAAATGACACACTTATAGTAAAATTCATAATCATCGATCTAATTAATCGCTGTCATGTTCCATTGAAAATAAAACTTAATTGTCTTTGATGTATTATTATTATCATTATTACACGCTTTTTCTCATACATCTCAAATTATAACAAAGGCACGCGCTCTCGAGTCGTGTATTATAAGTAATTCAGATGTTTGTGGGCAGAGATAGAGTACCGTTTGTACAGTATCCTTCGTTAAAACCTGGGTCATTTATGCAGTTCATTTCAACAATTTTCAGGCATCTTCTTGACTTATAAAATTATTAAATTGCGGACGAAAAGTGAGGGTACCAACTCCCACCCCCTTAAAAATATTTGGGACGTGTCCCCTGTCCCCCTTGATCATGTTTTCTTTTTAGGGGCGTCTTCCATTTGAGATTTTTTTGGAATTAGTAGACGGCTAGATGCTCTTGGATGATATATGAAAAGAAGTTAAGCTTAAAATAAGTAAGTGTATGTTTTACGAGAGTATACATATATATGCATGAGAAGCACACACACAAGATGAGTGACCATTTTTTTTCACGGTCACCGAAGTGGGGTGGCTAGCCACCCGGCCCTATTCACCCCCTTCCAGATCCGCCATTGCTTCCCGACTGCAGTACAACCATTGCACCTAAAATACCATAGCGACAGTGTAGCGATTTTAGGGAAAGCTTGGTTTCAGTACAATTGCTACACTGTTGCTACATTTTTTTTTGCGTACGGTAGCTGTCCCCAACGGAATCGGAAACCCCGCCCCCTGAATTCAACTTACCAATCAGCTTCGCCAAAGCAGTCGGCGATAGCGTGTAGCAATTTTTATGGAACCAGGCTGAAACCAGGCTCAAGAGCTTAGCAAATCTGAACTTAACAAACTCGCAAACTATCCAGTTAGGTTAAAATCACATTACTGGAAAGGTTTCTTTCTGATAACGTGCTAAATTATATTGACATCCGCCCTCTAGCGGTGAAGTATCCGCAAATTTGGAAAATAAACACTAGGATATGAAATACGTTTGTATGTTATATTTATCAAAACATCTTTAGTAGAGATAATGAGCGTGAAATGTTATAATAATATTATTTCCACATGATAATTGGTCTGAGTAATTGATAGATAATATTCTGCTTTGAATGCAATTTTCTTGAACTAAATTTATACCGTGTCAGCCCTTTTCGCTGCCTTTATTATTCCTAATCATCGACGGATTTGTTTTTATGACTGAATTTTTCTGACCCGTTAAAGTGACACCTAACCATGTCGAAATGTTCGACAGTTCTCACCAAGCGTTTAGGAAAAGGTTGAGTGGTTTTCATTAAACCGATCAATGAATCATGATTATCGTTATGAACTGAAACAAGCTTACGTGAATACTCCTGAGGCGACCATTTGATATATAATTTTAAAAGCTCAATTTCTCGCTTTATCTTTTTCCTCAAGCCGAACATACCTATACGCTATCTATGTTTATAAATACGTTCTTGTAACTCAGGTACATCCAATAATATATTGCACATGTGCACTCACCAAAGTGTCAAATGCGCAAGTTGATAACTGGCGGAAAGAGCGCATGTTGACACAGCTATACGGTTGTAGGTACTTGATGATGAAAATATGCTTACTGTACATATACATGTACCCATGACTTAAATATGTTACTCAAGATTTTATCGACAACTGCAAATGATTGAATTGATTATAAGTGGAAATAATAAAAAAAATAATAAAAATGCGTATCCCTAAATTGAAAATATACACTAAATACAATATTTCATTACACGTAAAAAAAACACACATAAGTGCATGGAAGCACATTTGTATCCAAAGATGCCTGAACAGCCTGTAACAACTAAAAACATATTATTCCACATACCCACTTACAAGATTAAAATAGTTAAAATTGAATTATACTAGTAAAATGCCAAATCGTAACTAAGAGAAAATGTCACAATTCAAAAATGTATTATCAGCCTGAGTATTAGCAAAAAAAAAACTATTGCAGGTAATCATACCCGTGAATTGTTGTACATTTATAACACTGTGTGTGAAGCACTAGGGTTACGATCACTGATCTCTACTGTAATGTTTAAGCTTCTTGGCGAAACCCTTTTTTCTATTTTCTCCTGTCTCTTGCAGCCACTGTCGCTTCTGCTCAACCTGTTTTCTTTCTGGCATGTTTCTGACTGTGCTTCTTCATGTAGTTTTGGGTCGCTCTTATTTTCTCTGCAGCTATCTAGCTTTCATTCAATGTTATTCTTGCATAATCATCTCCTTCTTTTCTGAAGAAAGTGTCTAATTCATCTCCATTTCAATTAAAAAGAAACTTACTTATTTCTCTTGTACATGTTATTCCATGTAACTCATCATGTGGCTATCCTATGTGTGATTTTCTTGAGGCATTTTCTTTAAAAGACATCTTGTTTACTCATTTTTGCGATTTTCCAAATTTCTCAACCGTAAAGATGTGAATTACATTTGATTTGATTGGTATACCTATCTACGTTTTTCTTCTATAAGAATTTCAGTTACATACATTGTCGAATGGTGTTTTGTGAGAGAGATATTGACATTCTCACATATATGATCTGCCTCTGTCCCGCATTCCTTATTTACTGTAAAATTTCCCGAAGGTAAATAGGAAATAAGAAACTCTGATACTATTAGAGTTTATAATTTTAAACCCAAAATGCATGGG